TAAGAAGAGTCAATACACTCTTTTTTTCAAGTAGATAATCTATTATTAATAAATTTAGTAATGGCTACAGATATCCAATTGAGATTAAGACCACTCTGAACTCTGTACAGTTATACAGTGATATCTGCTGACTAGATAAAACAGACAGAAGATGTGACGTTTGTGAGTCACCCAAAAAGTAATACAACAGGTCATTGACAGAGCCAAGAAAAATGTCATATCTCCTAACTTCTGTTTATCAGACTCCATCACCCCTCAGTCTAGGAAAAGTGCCATATTTATCTTATTTTCTAAATTCCTTAGGCTTCCCAATTAGATCTTTTAATTTAAGCTCAGAAAAAGAGAAGAATTTTAACAAGTAGATTACTCATTTTTCCTGTGGCCAGAAGCCATAAGAGATCAAAATAATAATGTGTATGGACAACAGGACAAAAGAGCAAGAAAAAATATATATGTACTCTATCCATGTAGCCACGCTAAACAGGGTTTGTAATCAGACGGCTATTTACAGCATTGATCTATGACAAATGACTGAAGCAATTCACAGGCACTCCTCTCAACAGATCAGGTTTCCAAACACTCCTTCAGGATTTGGATTATTGAAAATTTGCCCATTTTTTTCTGGTTTTGTAGCACAGACATTTCATTTTGTCAACTTTGCTATCTATATAGCACAATAGAATGAGCACCAAATATATCTATTCAAATTCATACTGCATTCAAATGCAACTCACCAGTGGGAGGGAAAAGAAACATTTAATCCAAACTGAAATCCCCTTTAGCTTGGAGGGTGCTAGTAAACTAGACATGTACTCATCATCTCATATTTATGTTAACCCTAAAGATTATTGAGAAGCCAGTTTCTTAAACTGCTGAGATTCTTCTCCAGCCATCTAATATTCTTTGTTATGGTTTCCAGCACAACTCGAGTGATTTTTAGCTGTGATCCTTGGTTATTTAGAGATTTAAAGAAGATCTCCACCTGAAAAAGATGATAGTCATTAGTGTCTGAGGTCAAATTTTGTCTGTGTTTAAACAGCTCTTAGGAAAACTTAGGCCAAATAGCAGGAATTAGAAAGGCCAAAGTTGGTGACACTGATTGCAACTCTAAGAAAACTCAGAGATATCATACACCAGGCTTTTCCAGCAATCCCCTCCCTCCTTCAGTCAAGTACCCTCAAAGAGTAAAATAACATTGAATAAAATAACTAAAGTTGAATCAGCTTTAGATAAAAGCGCCAAAAAGCCTCACTGAAGCACCCAACCTATACAGACACTGGGCGAGCCAGGTCAAACTAACATGAAGCGTCTTCTGAGCATGCACTGCACTTGGTGCAGGAGTGTGCCGAGCTTAAAGTAAAGCACTGTTTTGCAGGGGGAGGAGGGTCATGTCTGTAAGCAGCCTAAATGAATAACAGAAGTATGTCTCTTCCCATACTAACAAAAAAGGATATATATTATAAAATGCAAGATTGACCTGTCAAAAATAATGCACTTACAGGGCAGTAAGAACTATCACACATAATAAACTATTTTGCAATGATTACTATCAACCTTTTTACGTTATTAAAATGATTTCCAAATCTTTAATTCTTCTTTCCTTATGAATATCTCATCACTGAAATATTGAAAGATCACTGTCCTTTGACGGCTGTTCTGGGCAGTCAGGCCTTCTTATTTGTAAACTGAAGACATAGGAATGTAGGAAGAGCACACACCAACTGCTGAAGCTTCCTTAGCCTGACGAAGGGTTTTTGAACCCGAAAGTTTGCTTAATAACTATTCTCCAACCATTTGGGTTGGTCTAATAAAAGATATCAAATTCACCCAAGGAACCTTGTCTGCCTATATTCACAATAGGTTTTAATAAAAAGTTACAAACCTCTTCTAGTTCGTCTCTGGATGAAAAGTGGGATGTAGTGCCAGAGATGATAGTTCGAATGGAGAAAGAAGCTAATTCAAACCTGTAAACAAGGAAGGGAAAATAAACAGTAATAATACAAACAACATACAATAACAGAACTACATTCTATGGTGTTTTTATTATCTTTTTTCTAATAAGTATTTTTGTTTAAATTAGAGCAACACAGTCAAATTAAAAAAAAACAACACAGCCTTACCCAGCCCACAAATAACACAGGAGACTACTAAAGCAAAAACATTTTTAAACCTAATTTGCTTTTCACTTTTTCTGTTGTTTTAAACTTTTTTCAATTCTCTGAAGAATAATAGAAACAACTTAGTTTTTCAGAATGTCTCTATTCAGTTTCTTGCGGGGATACAAAGATTGGGCGTGCTACAAACACAGAACACACGCTTCCTCTGTGGTGAAGGCAGACAGTCACCCCTTCTTCCCACGTTCTTCAGCTCCTACCACAAGTAGAATACAGGAAGACAACACCTTACATTAATTTCGATAGTTAATACTGGTTACAAGTGAATAAGAGATGTAGGTGCATAATGAAGGTGGGATTTCTTAAAATATGAACCCCATGAGCCACAAGGGCTAGATTTGAGTAGCTAAAGCAAAGTAGCCTCATCTTCAAAGAAACTGAGTTCCCACAGCTTCCTTTAACCTCAGTAGGATTTATATGAAAGCTCACCACCTCTAAAAATCAGGCCTCTTTCATTTAAGGGTCTTAATGGGGAATTAAGAGGGGAATTTTGACCATAGTTTCTATCTTGGAGGTTCATGGGTTCTTGTGCTTTCTTATGGGTACAGGTCACTTACATTAAAGGGACAGGCCATCAAAATCAAAACAGCTTAGGATGCTTTCAGCATCCAAAGCTAATTGATTAAATAATGTATCTGGATTTATGACCTTAGGACTTTGAAAGTTAGTTCTCTAGTGGTAAAAAACAGCATTTGGGGGCCTTCTGTAAACATATTGAAATGGAATATAAACATTTATTCCATTTCAACAGTAGAATAGTGATCCTTCTTTATTGTTATTTGCAAGCATTTGCCAATAATGGTGGCTGAAATAGACAAACAGATACCAACTTTTCAAGAAGCTTTTTCCAGTTTTCTCTGACAAAATTCCAGGCAAGCCTCTGTCCCTCCGGGTTCCTGCCTATAGCATGAAGAAGAATTGCCAGATTCTGAGTCTTGATAATTTCACCTTCCATGCCTAGTGTAATTAGCCTGCAGAAATGAAAACAGGCAGTTTCAGTCTGTTTCTAGTCTGCTGGTAGCAGAGACTGTTAGACCACCACTCAATACACATTTCCTTCCAACAAAAGTACTACTAATAAAAGAGGAGCAGAAGAGATAAAACAGACAACAGTTCAGTGCTTGAAATATATCAGTTTTTAAGTCTGTTTTAATTGGGTGCTGCTACAGCATTTTTCATATATTACTACTGCTTTTTAGGGAAAATTTGTCATGATTTCAATGAAGTAATTTGCATAATACATAATGTTGTCAGGGCCCACAATGACCACTTAACATGAGCCACTACTATTTTTCAAAAGATGATTCCAGAACTGTTGATGAGTGATTTTGATATAAAATTCGTAGAGTATACAGATAACTTGATTTATATTTTCTTTTGCTTTAACTACAGATCCTGCAAGCTGGACATGGAATGTGAAAATCATACTAGCGTCTTAGGGTTATTTGTCCCCAGTCAAGATTCTTGTAATCTGCAATCTACTGATGATATAAAATCCAGAACAAAATCCAACTTCTCTCTTGGAGGAGTATTGGTTCTAAAGTGCTAATGGAAACTTTTTTGAGTCACCTAATTAACAAGACCTGACTCTGAACATAAACAGGGATCAGATCTATGTGATTGTTTATCAGAATTGAACTATAAAAGTTTATAATCTCTTTGTTGCATGATTTGTAGTATTCCATAAACCTCCAATGGTCCTGTGGATTATCAACATCAGGCCAAGTTTTCTTGGAGTGAGAGCTCATTAATAAATTATTTAGGAAAATGATCAAGTAAGTAAAAATAGAATTCCACATTTGAAATGTGTTACAATGTGTTGAAATGTCAGGTCACAAAGGCCATGGACGCAGGTGTCGCGGTGGATGTAGTCTTTCTGGACTTCAGCAAGGCCTTTGACACCGTCTCTCACCCCATCCTAATTAATAAACTAGGCGACTGTGGCATAGATGCCTACACAGTCAGATGGATTGCAGATTGGCTGAAGGGTCGCACTCAGAGGGTGGTGGTGGATGGATCATACTCGACTTGGGGGGAGGTGGGTAGTGGAGTCCCCCAGGGCTCGGTCCTGGGGCCTGCGCTGTTCAATTTCTTCATCAGCGATCTTGATGTTGGGGTGGAAAGCAACCTGTTTAAATTCGCTGATGACACCAAAATTTGGTGGGAGGTGAGCACGCTAGCAGGGAGAGAGAGATTGCAGAAGGATCTGGATAGGTTACAGGGGTGGGCAAACAGGAACAGGATGTGTTTCAGTACGGACAAGTGCAGGGTGCTGCACTTGGGTAGTAGGAACCAGCAGCACACTTATACGATGGGGAACTCCCTACTTGAGAGCACGGAGGCGGAAAGGGATCTTGGTGTCATTATTGACTCCAAGATGAACATGGGCCGACAATGCGAGGTCATAGTTGGCAGGGCTAACCGGACCTTGTCGTGCATCCACAGGTGCATCTTGAGTAGAGCCAGGGAGGTGATCCTCCCCCTCTATGCGACGCTGGTCAGGCCGCAGCTGGAGTATTGTGTCCAGTTCTGTGCGCCCCATTTCAGGAGGGATGTGGACAACATGGAGAGGGTCCAGAGGAGGGCCACCCGCATGATCCGGGGACAACAGGGCAGACCCTACAGTGAGAGACTGCGGGACCTGAACCTATTCAGCCTCCACAAGAGAAGGCTGAGGGGGGACCTGGTGACCGTCTATAAACTCACTAGGGGGAACCAGAAGGGTTTGGGGGAGACGCTGTTTCCCCTAGCCCCCGCTGGCATAACAAGGAGTAATGGGCACAAGTTGATGGAGAGGAGGTACAGATTGGACATCCGAAAAAACTACTTCACAGTTAGGGCGGCTAGGAGCTGGAACCAACTTCCAAGGGAGGTGGTGCTGGCCCCTACCCTGGGGATCTTTAAGAAGAGGCTGGATACCTACCTGGCTGGACTCATTTGAGTCCCGTTTTTTGTTTAGGGTTCTTTTGTTGTTCTCCCGCCCTGGCGGGGGGTCGGGCTAGAAGATCTATTAGGTCCCTTCCGACCCTAAAACTATGAAACTATGAAACCAAGCTGCTGTTGGAGATTTTCATGCTTTCACAGCTCCTTGGAGAAGGAATGTGGTACTGTTTTGTTTTAAATAATTCAACAAAGACAATTCTTACTTTGCCAGTTTTTCATGATGCCTGCTTGTGGTCAAAGCATAGAGGATTTTGTTCTTTTCTGCATCCAAAACAGATAGACTATACTGCTTCAGTAGATAATTCCATCCTGCTCCTGTTTGTGCTCCAACTGAGTAGACTGTCTTTAAAAGATCTGTTGGAAGGCTGTGGCATTAAACAAAGGTGGGGAAAGAGAAGGCAGGTCAGATGATTTTAGACTTCTTGGTGTCTTCACAGATGTGCAATACTACAGTCTCTCACAGACATGTTCAATGTACTTATAGTATATAATGATTTTCCTTATGTTTCACATGTCAGATGCCCTGACACCACATGGTCACTTCTAGTTCTTTGCCATTTGTCTAGCATTTTGTTTTGCATGCACCAGAAATTATGGTAACAAAGTCAGAACAGTTCATATTTACTTCATGAAAACAACTGGGCCAAAATTAGTAGTGTTCCCTGACACATTGCAAAGAGTTTCCATGAAAATTGATTTAATATGGATTTTGCAAAAAGATAAGAAAATGTACAGAATTTTGAGCATTTTAAATGGCACTATGAATATTTCACACTTCTTTAGTCAAGCCTTGTTGCCACCTAGTGTCATTTTTAAAAAAGCAGAAATGTGTTTTTTACTTTGTGAATCTAGATATAACCAGAAAATAGCTAAGCTAAAAGGAATCTAGGAGCTTTAGAAGCTGAGAAGGTCAGTTCAAATACAGTGATAAAAGAATCAGCTGAGTCCCTCATGCTTGCTGCAATTTCAAGCAGCTAGAAGCCTACTCTCTACTCAAGAAGCCCCATATTATTTAATCTTCAACTTCTACCATGTCCCTAACTTGTCTTTCTTGGACCCAGTCATGAGGAGCAGACCCTTCCAATCACTGCTTGTGTGACTTTGAGTAACTAGAATAAGAACTCAGGCTAGAACTTCTTGGTTTGCTACACAGTACGTGATATCATGTGGGGGGAGGAGCAGTACACTAGTTCTTCAGCAGAGTGATGAATGATCTATAAGCATGTGAGAAGACATGCATCATTCAAGAGGGACTGGAAATGTTATGGTGCACTATTTAAAGATAGTGACTAGCAGAGTCTGGGAATTGAAAAAGGTCAATAATAACTTTGATTCCAAATACTATAGATCATGTACAAGGACCACTAGTCAGAAACTACCATAGTTACAAAATAAGGAATAATAGAAATGGATCTAGTTTGAAAAATAATCAAGGTGCAAAAAAATAAACCTCTCTGCTGTTTGAAACACTGCATCAACACTCTGGTCTTGTGGAATACTATTACAGTTCATCATATGTAACAACTGGGGCAAAATATAGAATATCCCAAAGCAAATAATGTAAATAAATGTTAAACAAGTTATTGATTCATCTATCTATGCACCCACCAGCCAGACAAAAGTCTGTTAGCCTACTAAAACAGGGAAAGGTATTTCTTTGAATTGACAAGTGTAATATTATGAGTATTTTCGTCATCAGTCATCACGGTGCAAATTAGTTATGCATTGATGCAAAGGGAGGGAAAGGAACTTCTTCTGCTGGGACTGGTAAATGTCATGTTATATTAGCCAGGCATATATTTATGTAATTCCTGGATATTAGATTTAGTTGTTACATTTATCATATTACTGATATTTTTCCTTCTAAATACTGCAGTAAATTCAAGCATAAAAAAATAATCCTGGAAAGCTACACAAAGACGGTCCCATTTGCACAACACTTAATGGGTTGAGAACTATGCTGGATGTTATATTCCATTATGTATATGGAAGACCAGTGGTGTAATTAAGGTGGAGCCAATGGGGCAACCACCCCAGGCACTGAGTTGGGGGGAGGAGGGTGTGAAAAAAATGGATGCTGCTGGCAGCTACACAATTGCAGCGGCAACTGGAAGTCCCTACCATCCCTGTGCCCCATGCACCCGCCAGGGTTCCTACACTGCTATTTGAGACTGATGTCACTACTGAGCTTGCGGGCTCCTATACATGTGCAAGGAGCCGGCTCCAATGCACTGGAAATCCAGCATGTCGGAGCGTATTGGATTAATCAAGTCTGCTAGAGTGCAGAATTAACGTGCCACAGCAGACTTAAGAGTCAAGTGTATCAACATCCCTATGCTGAAAAATGGCGGCGGGGTGCTTTGAACTAGAACTCATTTGGTGAACTTTAGTTCAAAGCACCCCACCATCATTTTTCAGAACACTGATACCCATGATGCTCAGGTGCTTTTAATTAGTGTGGGTCGCTAATTAAAGCGCACCCTCACACCTCCCAGAGTATGTGTAAAAATGCCCTTATTCTCCAAAGTGCACAAGGAGTGTAACAGGGGCCTCTAACCCTTGTTACTCAGAGAAGCAGTGCTATGAGGCTGTGGGTTCAAGCAGTAGAGAAAAAGGGCTGAATGGCCCCAGTCTGCAAACCCCAAGCAACAGAATGCCAGGCCACTGGTTAGATAATTAGCAACACCTATGCTCAGTTATGAGGAAAAAGAGTCAAGTAACTGGAAGGAGCTGGAGTCGGGGGCTGATATAAGCCTGGCTCCTGGCCTGGAGTTAATTCTGGCCCAGATCAAGGCCACACTCTGGTCTTCTGAGGGCAGCCTCCCCAATTTATACAAATTTACCAGCCAGGCATGGCAGGTGAGGCAGCAGGGCAGTACTCTGGTGAGACTAGATGAACAATGGGCTTAAGGTAGCTGGCAGGGGACACCACAGACACCTTTAGAGATGGGTCCCATTACGGGAGATTCTAGAGCTATGTCCATGTCCTTTGCTGTGGCCCAAAGAAATTGCGAAGGCTGCCATCTGTAGTGTTCTGAGAAAAATAGTGGTACAAAGGACTTTTGTCCTGGAAGAGTGTCTCCTAGCATTGGTATATTAGCCATGTGGGACTAGGCTGGACAACCACAACTGACTTTTAAACTTAATTTTTCTTGTAATGACAGTATATGCATGTGGTTCTTTCAAGCAGTGGCAAATAACTATAATATGCCCTGCACTGGAAAAGCAGGAAATCAAGCCTAGTAAGTAAATTAGTAGAAAGAAGAAAAAGAGCTGGATAGCTTTTCATATTAACAAACTTATTTTTCAATCTAATACACTGTTAGTCACACTAGAATAAAAGATTATTCATTCCTTTTTCCATTTCAGATAGCAAAAGGTTTCCTATTTAACCATCCTGTAAAAGCCTGTGGTAGAAAAGAAAACTAAACACTTGGTAAAAAAAAGCCTAAATTAAAGAAAGTATGCAAGCTATTTACTCTAAATTTCCACCAGATCCCATCCACTTGCTGAAAAGCTCATGCGCCTTCTGGATACAGGGAGAATAGCGCAGATCACAGGCGAGTTGCAGGAGATCAGAACGAAGCAGTCTGTCAGAAATAGAGCCCTCATCACTCCAGGTTTGCCTGTCAATCACCGGCTTAAAATACCGCAGGATATACTTCTGCAGAGAGAATATAGCCCAGTTAGTCCTACTGCCACATGCTACACTCCTGCTTTGTAACCATACACATGGTTACCCTAATTCTACAGTTGTAATCCATTTGTTACAACTGTATATCATAATCAGATGTCAAGCTCATCCCTGCTCTGGTGTCTTCTCTTTGAACATCTTTTGGATAAATGAGTTCTTTGTAATAAGGCCAGACAACAGTGGGCCTCTAGCTGTGACACTGTGCAAAAAATATCTATTATGTGTAGTTCTGCTTAACATGACAGCTGGCAATCATTTTCAACATGGTTACAGGTCTTTATGAGAAATTAATAGAAGTTCTTTGTCTCATTCTCATATGGCGAGGAGAGAAATGATTGAGGTGTTACCTCCAAGAAGTTTACAGTTTACATTGACCTAAGCTAGAATGTAATGTAGAGAGGGTGGGAATGAGGGCAAGGACTGGTCACGGGGAAGGAGAGCCACGAGAGTTTCCTGCTCTCATTAGCCAGAAAGCTTCAGTGCCGTTGGAATGCAAGGCCAGAGGCTACGCCAGTCACTTGGTAGCACCAGACTCTTGGCGTAACTCCATGAGTCAGAGCAGCTCTCCTTGGAGCATGCCTTAAAGAACAGGAGCAGCAGAAATCACAGTCATGGCTCATTACTGTGCGAGTTGACACCAGGCTGAATAACGCAAGCCAGAACAAAAGGAGAGTAGTGTATGGTGTTTGTAGCCTGGAAAATTTGTCATGAGGGTTTGAGGTTTTCTTTTCTTTTGTCTATTGAAAGCTAAGGAGGATACCTTCTGAACATGGAACTGGGAAGCTGCTTTGTGTGTTCCAGTTTTTCTTAGAGACAATTGCAAGTTTTCCCCCAAATTAAAATTGTACCTTAAGGTGTTCTGAGACACTGGAAATATTTCTTCTCTCCATCACATGGTAGATTGATTCCAGGTAGCCCAAGCCTTTCAGAAGTGATATGTTATTGGTTTCATGTTGGAGATACCGAGTCAGATCAAGGGCTCTGTCTAATGAGAGCCTTCCCACACTGAGGGGGAAGAAATATACACAAGCTCAACATTTTGAATGTTACATAGCTTTGTTCTTCTCCACATTTTGCCCGTCATACTATGCTCAGCACTGTAAGTCATGAGGCCTGGACTCTACTCTCAGCTCGGTTGGTAACTAAGAACTTATTGGTAAATAAGCCAATATACCCTGAAGTTAGAGCAAGTCTTTGATTGTCAGCTCAGGCACTAACTAAATAACTTAAGACTAATCACCTAAACTGAATTTGTGCTGGAGTTTTCCCAACTTTAAAATTAGGATAACTATATAACATCTTTGGAACCAAGACCATTTTCTGATTGGAACTCTATAAAAATACTGCTGTTGGTCTATCCCAGGGGAAGTTGTCAGGATCAAACACTAGATCACTTTAAGGCTAAGTACAGACATTCAGAAGGTTAAATCAGGTTCAAAATGGCCACCTGATTTAAACTTAGCTTGTCCTGGTGCCGACCTTACACTGACAGACCCAATCTCAGTGACCGGCAATCAGTCTAGACCTGTATCTGAACAGAAGTTCCATGCACACAAACCAGTCTAAAAATTGCAGATAAACCTGGATCTATGTTGTATCAGACTCATTCGATTTAGGTCGAACTGGTGCATGGAACTTCTGTCCACTTCCCCTGCACAGCCCCAGGGCTGGGAAAACCCAGCCCTGGGGCTGCTCTTTTCACTCCCTACTTTCCCCACACTGGTCTATTTTTTTGCCCCCTGGCCTCTTGCTTCCCTGCCAGCCAGCACTCTCAAGCCCCATCCCACAAGTTGCCCTAAGTGCAACCACTTTTTTTAGCATTTGCTACTACTGAAGCCAAACAAATAAGTCCTGGTGGGAGGAGGGATGCAGGTGTAGGTTCACTGGGGGAGCCCCCACCTCACCCATGGGTCATGCCTGGCCCCCACCCCACCTGCAAGTTGTGCCTGTCCCCACAACCCCTCGCAGGTTGTGCCTGACCCCCTAACCTTCATGGATTGTGCCTGCTCCCTCTACCCATCATGAGCTATGCCTGCTCTCCCACACCGCACTCATGGGTCATGCCTGCCCCCCACCCCACCTGTGGGTTGCGCCAGCTCTCCCTATCCCTTATGGGTTGCTTCTGTCCCACCCCACCCCAAACCGCAGTCACAGGTCTCACCTGCCCCCCCACCACACTCATGGGTGTTTGCCTGCCTTCCCCCCACTCATAGGTCGTGCCTGCCACCCACCCCACCCATGGGTTGTGCTTGCTCTCCCTATCCCTCACAGGTTGCTCCAGCTCTGCCCCCCCCAAACCACACTCGCAGGTCACGCTTGCCCCCTCACCACACTCATGGGTTGCGCCTGCCTTCCCCCCCAGCTATGGGTTGTGCCTGCCCCCCTGATCCCCTGGCGATCCCCTGGCAATCCCCTCCAACCTGCTGGACCCCTAAGCTCCTAGCTAGGCCCACCCCGTCCTGGTTTACCTGATATCAGGCAGCCATTTTGAATTGATTTAACCTCCCCTCACACCCCCAAATAGCTGTACTTAGCCTAAAGGGCTCTAAGATGATAGGTGACAAGCAAGCTCATTCTATTAAAATGATTTTATGCACAGATGGTACAACTGCCTGACCTAGTTTTGGGTGCTTTGTGGTTGTCTCAGTACCAAGTATCCTGTCCTTTGATTTGCTGCTTAAGCAATATCATGAATCTTCAGCTTCAATAATTTGAGCCAGATAAACTACAACAGGAGGTCAGAGCAGGGGTAAGCTCTACATATATCTAGTAGACACACTTTTATAATTTATCCATAGTTCCTTCCATTCTTCATACAATTTCATTACAGTTTATCCTTAGATTTCTTCATGGAATCAAAAGTAACAACCCATGCATCATTATGAGCTACTACCTTTCCTTATTAGTCTTGCATCATGCCAACACATATGGTGTCCCTACTGCATCTCTTTACCTAGCATTCCTAGGTAAGCAGCATCCTCGGTAAACAGCTCTGAACAAGTTTAAGTATCCTGCCAGGAGATGTCCAAAGAACAAGAGGACAAACATCTCTCTTTCAATTATAGGCATGGGAATCACCTATATTCACAGTTATGCCTGAATATCAGGACAGAACTCTGTTTTGAGCTGACAAAAGTACGGGTATTAGAGAGTGCAAGCTTAAGCCCAGATCCTAACATGAATTCTGCATGGGTGGACCCTTGCTCCTGCCCCATTATTATTGTGGGATCCAGCTTATTTCTTGAGCATGGCCACTTTTCAATATATATTTTGTGGAGAAGAGGAAGGCAGAAGAGAGATCACTGCTAAAAAGTAGACAGTGGACATGCATCTCCTATGTAGGATTTAACGTGGTGTCTTTTCTAAAAAAGCAGAAGAGGTTCAGAGAAGAATCTTGATGGGCCGAATCCTTTTATGTATGACTATATAACTCTCTTTGAGAGAGGTAGCTAGCTGTGTTAGTCTGAAGTCAGGCAGAAGGGAGGGTAGATTTGTACTTTATGGACTATTGAAATTAGAGATATATAGCATAAGCTGAGGGCTTACTTCATTAGACAGCATTTGTATACTGTACGTCTCTGACTTAGTCCATAAGGCACAAATCTATCCTGCCTTCTGCCTATAATTTGTTTTCCTGTAGCAACTAGAAATAACCATCATGTGTTCCCACTACTGTTCTAGGCACTGTAAAAATGAAGAAAAAAAGGCAATCCTTTTGTAGTTCATTTTATAGGAAAAAAATGTGAGCTAAAAACACAAACATATACTGTTTTTGCTTTAAAAAAGTAAAGTAAAATATTATGGTATAAAGCCAAACTCTTCCCCCTCCACCCTTTTCCTTCTCTTTGTCAATGGAATCTATCCACCATTAATTTGACCTGTCTTGTTCACACAACATCAGCTCCAGGGCTAAGGCTAGCCTAAGAAAGCTACGAAATGTTTACTGACTCTATTATACAGTCACTCTTACAATCAATTGTTACTAAATATTTCGCTGCTTAAGAAAATTGTCTGTTAAGCCTATATAAAAGACCTAGCATTATGATCAGAGAATGAGTTCTGTGTCATTGCCTCTTAGATCCACACCCCAAGAAAACCAGTTCAGCACTCAGTGAGGAGTTGGTTGGATGCACTTATACAAGTGAACCTCTAATTGTGCATGAAACTACCGGGAGGGGATCAGTATTTGTGTTCCCTGCTATTCAAACATGTATCTTTTTGTACATTCATATATCTACCTTGCAGGCGCAGCTTTAGCAAATACTAGGGCTGTGAGAAGCTTTGGTCGCTGATTTGATTTGGCGAAGATTTGGCCTGATTCAGTGGCTGAATCTCCGAATTCGAATCGAATCTGGAGAGCCTTTAATCTCTCCGAATCAAATCAGAACCCTCCAAAACAATTTGGAGAGATTCAGAGAGATTCAATGATTCGGACGTAGACACAGCTTTAAATGTTTTTTCTACATACCTCAAGGTACCAGGTGGCTCGTGAATGCTGAGATGCTAGGGTGGATGGAGAGTCCCACGGGAGCATGGGGGGATCCCCAGTGCACTTGGCGGTGGAGCCAGAAGTGGACCAGAAGCACTTCCAGTCCACTTCCAGGTCTGCCATGGAGCATGTGGGGACCTCCCTGCCCCATCTCAGCAACTGGTACCTTCTGGGTCTGGGGTGGCACCTGGGGTCACCTCACAGCCGATCACTGAGCTGGGGTGGTACATGGGGTACCATACTAAGTACTTTCAGTCCAATTCTGGGTCCATCACCAAGCATGTAGGGGGGCCCCCTTGTGCTCCTTTGGGATGCTCCATCTGCCCCATCATCGCAGAGTTCACGAGCCATGCCTGGTACCTCGAGATATGTAGAAAAAAAACATTTAAAGTAGCGTCAATGGCCGAATCGCTGATTCTCCGAATCAGCATCGAATCTTCAGATTCGGATTCGGCTGAATCAAATCAGGCCAGCGATCCAAATCAATTAATCGAATCACTGTCCCCCAATTCAGGCTGAATCCAAATCCAAATCAAATACAGCCTGTTTTGCACACCCCTAGCAAATACCTATAAAGAGGTGAGGGCAGTTTTTAGGTAGCTGTTTTAGGAAACTGAAAATGTAACCATGTATTTTATTTCTACATTAAAAGTAGGAAGAGATTTGTTACCTGACCAGTTCAAATGCATTGTGGATCAAGTTCACTCGGTCCTTGGGACTGAAGAGTGTGTGGTTCTGATCCAGCAATGTAATGATGTTGTCTCATCCATTCCCCTCGTAGTGAACGATATAATAGCTATTCATATCTACATTGAATTTCACCCAGGCAACACCTTCCTTGAGTTTCAATGAGTCTAAATGGGGGAGAGATTCGCTATAAGTATCTCATAAAGAAATAAAGTGTATGCTTGTAATGAAAAAATAAATAAAGGCACAGGTCTGCACCACACTCGTCAGTTGTGCAACACAGAGAAAAGAGATTTGCTGGTGGTATGACTTTATGAATAGTTTACAGGGAGAATGTTGGCATCTTGGTGGCTTACAGGATTGGTAATGGCAGACAGGTCCTTCTCTTTTTGACACTAAGTTTAGCAAAAATTGTTAGTAACTTATGGCTACCCTGTGGCCTATGTGAAACTGACTGCTTGTCTATGCCCATTTCTCAAAAAGGCCAGAAATCATATAGGCATGGTACAAGCTGACATAATGGCCCTCCAAGCAACATGCACTTTGCATGTTGTCAGGTGGAAGGCAGTATGAAAAGGTTTCTATTGCCATTATCTTTGCTATTTCAGGGCTGAAATATAGCCCTTTGCCAACACTAAATGCTCTTTTGTCCACAGGTGGAATCTGTTTCCTGGCAGTGATGATAAAAGTAACTATTTGTGCATTATTTAGAAAAAAACATCTTGGAATTGAATTCAGTTCCAAAAGTCAGTTTTAGATGTCATATTCACAGCGTAGTAGCGCCCACACACCAGCATCAATGCTCCCCTTATAAAAAATTGCATACAGGTCTGCAGTTTTTAGGAGCAGACCACAGATTCTCTCTGGCAAGATCTGCATCTTGTTTTCCTCAGCTAAATGCAGAGGCCTGGCAAAGAGGAAAGGATAGTAGCAGAAGTCTCTAAGGGTTCTGTCTAAATATGTTGTCTAAATATTGATTTCTGTGTGCTACATTTTTAACTGATCACTAACATGCAATCAATCATTTAGTTAACACAATCAATTCATTGGCAATGAGACCAATGATAATTCTTCATTACCTGTTTTAGTTTTTAATACATGTCTGTGAACAGTGTTGGAGCTGCTAGTGATGTAGGTAAGTGGGATATGCCAAAAATACCTGAAAGAAGCAAATATATATATAACACAGTAACATTATTTTCTTCAGAAAAAGGGGATTAGACTGAGTTGTTTTATCTCTGTGTAGTAATTAGTTTTATACTCATAATTCAAAACATGGATTTATCTAATCATCCTGCTGTAATGGTACAGAAACATCCACCAACACAAAAGATATGTCTTTATATTTGAAGAGACATGAACCTCTGTAGAAAATTCACTTTTATATTAAAGTTTTATTATTTTCTACATGTATATAAAGAAATATCATATTTCAGTGGAAGCACCCTATTTCATTACTAACAGATGAGGTTTCTTTTACATTGGATTTAAGTCTGTCATCCACTCTAATGAAAGACAAACCTCATTCTCTCTCCACTACCTGCTGAGAAATTGAGAATATATCTAACTGCTTCCTATTCCTGTATAGTCCTCTACAGAATTTCCCATTATAGGAATTCATATTTTCTTTTACCTCTGATCAAGCCTTACATATCTGCCAGCTGCTGATCACCAGCCCTGGCAATGGACTTCAGTGGTTCATCCTTATCAAGACAGGAAGAACACTTGTACAGACTAGCCAGTTCAGCAATTCTCATGTCACAAGCCATATCTACTACCTTTCACATACATCATATCAGTTCTTGATAAGTAAGCTTCCTGCCTAGGTTGACCTAAATTTATTTCAGAGCAATAATATGATATTGAACTCCAGTTTTGGGTACGTCTTCCTATACCACAAGTTATACATAAATAGTGTTATTACATTTAGGTAATGCAGATACCTTGACTGCAGATTAGCCCATTCAAGATCTTCTTCAATGACACCCTTCAGGAAACGCTCCTGTCGCAATTGAATGGTGTTTCCTTCACATTTTACAAGAACTAGTGGCATTCCTTTCTGATGTGTCCAAGTGTTCATCATTTCTTTGATCTCTGTAAGACTTCCATCATGACTGAACTGAAATTACCACAGACATAAACTATATTCAGTGAACCACTGGCAGTCTGGGCAACCAGAGCTGGCAATCAGAGAACCTCTGGTCGATTTTTGGCTCTAAGAGCAAGCCATGACTAAGCAGCAAGTCTGCATACTACACAGGGAAACACAACAATGTTTCTCCCCACAAACAGGATGGTTGCATCCAAGATGCTTGTGTAGCAAATAATAACAATTCTAGTAATATTTTTACATTGTGGAAGCTATACTCTAAAAATGCTAGTATAGACATTTATATGAACCAACAAAATTGAGTGTCAAAAGTCTCTCTGTTACCTTCTATACCCAAAGGACAGGGAATATTTCTGTAAACCTCCTACAGGTCTCTTTCTACTTCAAGCATAAGAAAAAAATCTTATGCTTTAAGACACAAAGGTGGGAGACAGGGAACCTGTGTTCTGTTCCTGGCTGTGCCTTCCTGTTTGATTTTGAGCACGATAATAACAACTTGCTGCAAGGCCCAACCTTCAAAAGTGAGAAGCACTTTTCCTCAGTTTTGGGTTTGCCATAGTGTGTCCAAGAACCTGGCCCACCTTTGCCAATACGTGTGTGTTTTCCAGAATAAAATGTGTCATGAAACAACATAATAAAAAAAAAAATCAACAGAATTCAATTCACTAAACAATAATCCATTGGTCAGAATGTAAAATACTGTGGGTTTTTTATGACGGAGACATCTTTTCTCCTAAAATATGGCCTATTTTTTCCTCCTGTTGTCACTGCAAGCATATCTCTAGTGAGAACAGAGGACAATCACCACTGTTCTAGATGAGATTCAGGAAGCACATTTTTTACATGCAAAGGATCTGGAGCCATTTCTCCCAAGCCTGAGTGCATCAAGTCAAGGACAAGATCAGAGATAGCCAATCGGATGAACCAGGATACAACATCCAAGCCCTGGAGCCAGCAATAGGATATCTTGATACATGACCATCTTGTCAGTTTAGTGTTTTATCTTCTAATATTCTACTTACTGCACTGCTAACGGGTCTGGAAGTAGCAAAGCAAAAACTTCCGGAAGATAAATCACCTTCAGGACAAATCTGTAAAATTAAAAGGCAGATGACTATTTTGAGAAAGTTTAATTAATGTCAGAGTAAACAACAGAGAGAGAGAGAGAGAAACAGACAGACCAATCAAAACATGTGATAAATCTGAAATTACAAAAGGCACTATTTACTGGTAACAGACGCTTAGCAGCACACCTTGAAAGTCTGTCATTTGAACATATGCAATAGCTATGTATTCATGTAGATAAATTTACTAGTGTCAGACAAAATGCATCTATAAATTAAAATGTCCCCATATTTTACATTTCTACTCTTATCACTGTTAGCATATTTGGGGGTGGGGGGGATAACATAAAACTTCTCAAATATATATAATATATACAGTAGAATCCATTTTCCCAGCACTCATATAAATGGTACATCTGCTTATCTGGGAAGAAGCCAGAATACAGATTCACTGTGATGCATTTCAGTGACAGAGACTAACAAATGGACTAATGATGCATCTAAGACTAAAACTGTAACCAAAATTTAGCCCTTAGTTGTGAAAGATTTGCTCATCTATTAAACCGGATGCTGTATGGAGCAGTTTACTGGCATAGATATATACCAGGCAGCCTTTTACTCACATTACACTGCTTTCCCTTGTCTTATGGCAGCGAAATCAATATTATGTTATCATGCATTTAACTTTTTCAATTTAATCTATTCAGCAATAAAGTAAATCTGTAAACCAGTGACACATAAGAGACAATACAATGAAAAAAATCACATGATTATGAATGTAGCTCTGAGACCAAGGGAAAAAAATTAAAGATGATGATATGATGCCTAGTTTACCATAGCATTTATTGTATTTTTCCATGCTTTTATTTATGTGCGTACATGCGCGTGCGCATGTGTGTGCATGTGCAAGTGCACGTGTGTGTATATACATGGAATTATATGTTGTATAATGCATATATAATACATAATGTATATATAACATGGAATATTATGTATATAACAAGGAATATATATCATTCCACTGCAATTATTTAATAAAACTAATAAAACCATGTCACTGAATAAACAGTGGTATGGTGTAATATAGCAATGAATCGTGATGGCAGAAGGTTAGATTTACAACAGAGACATGTTTTTAAAATGTACCAAAACTATATGCTTCAAATGTTGCCAGTGCAGTTATTTGCACACACAAATTCACACATGGAAATTGCATTTGCCAATCTGATTGGCCTTTAGGCTTTATGAGCAAATTCTGCTTTTGTGTCAGACTGGTGAACATTTTGTCCATAACTTTTTACACTGCTTACTTACATTGCCTACTGCTTTTTACATTACCTACTTCAAAACAATAAATAAAATAAAAGTAAATAAATAAAAATATAATAAAAGCATCCATCCAATATAATTAATTCCTCTGAGTCCATAAGGATTGGGACAACAAACCAGTGGTTGCAAGTGAAATACATTGTTACTATAGTACAGTTGCATAAGACTAATTTGACTGTAGTACAGTTGCATAATACTAACTTGATCCATTAACCAGCATCTACAATTCAAATATATTTTGGCCACAAATTCAGCATGTGCTTCACTTTAGGTGCATTGAAGTAAATAAGACTACTCATGGGCTTAAAGCTAAGCATATGCTCTGGGATCAGCATGGGGAAGAATACAGAGATAGATATTAACAAGGGCTCCAATTTGGCAATGAGGTCCATATGGATGACATTCAGAAACTACATGTATTCAGAGGTATAATCAATTTCAATGCCCCTGGATGAGGCAGAGTGGGGATGCCAAGTGCTGGAGAGCAGGAGTGCGGAGTATTATGGACCGAAGACAATATGCTGTAACAGTACAGTATGCCCTATGATCATTAATACACTCCTGAGTGGCTTTCAGGTGAAATCCACAGTTTTCAACTATTATATCAACATGATAAGTGTACAGCACAACATAATTCCCCCAAGTGAGGAACTCACATTTGCCAGGCTGTTCCACAAGTCATCAGTCTTTGCGTTCCTATAGCTGTACTTCTTCAAATACTGAATTACTCCTTTCTGGAAAACCTGCTCAGATAGGAAATCCTGGAGCATCTTCAAAATACAAGCTCCCTAAAATAGAAAAGTATCAGGTATTCAAAAATATAAATTTTACATTGCATGCCAAACCTTATGCATTTAGCCAGTGATTATTAAATTAGGATGTATTGCAAATATGGAATAAATAATGAAATTACTTTAGCTATATGTACTGGATGTCTTCATTAGCTAAGTGAAAATAGACATTCAAGACAATGACTCCCAGAAAGTCTTTGGCTGGTTTCCTAATGCTTTCTGAGATGAAAGAAAGCTTAGGGACCTATTCAACTCAGGAGATCAGATGACTGGTATTCTTTGGCACATTGTTGAGGTTTTAAATATTATTACTTTATAACTTTTGCCAATGTCTGACTTCAGAGCTCTCTCATGGCATTTAGCATTCTTCCCACAGTAGTAGCCAACTTCCATAATTTTGTAGCTTACTGTGGCTTCCACCGACAGAAAACTGCAAACAGCTAAGCACATTAAGAACACAAATGTTAATACCAAATAGATTTATGTAATTTGCCAAAATATTCAGTGACTACAAATTTTAGACAAAAGAATTGCTACACACAAAAATAATGAGCACTAAAATTCTTCCTTCTGCATCACTACTGAGTTACACTGACTGTGGTTAATGTTACAGCTGACTGCCCTATATTAACTAATATTAAGATATTCTACTTGAGTGATGCTTTTAATCTGAGGAGCTCAAAACACTTACGAACACTAATTAGTTGTCATCCCTTTAATGTGCATATGCTTATGGAGAATTAACTAATTTAAGTAAGTATAATAAGGGGCCAACATTCAGGAAAGAAGTCTGACACTCATTCATAGAATCAGAAGCAATTTACGCCACTTCCTGTTTTGGTTAACATAGATACCTTACTGTGATGCCATAGACAGGCTAATCAGCATTCAGGAGAATCCACAAATCACATTGTGCAAGCTAATTAGGTCTGCCACTCAGCAGTGCTGAGAGACAGAGGTAGATGAGTTGACCTAGGTACAGCACCACATGAGTACCTGGTCTGAGAGGTAGCCAGAAGGATGGAAGCAGCGGAGTCATTTTTCAGCAGTCCCAGGCAGCATCATGCTGCATGCTCTCAGGAAACAAAGCAGGGCACTGCCTGACACTGATCCCAGACCAGTTCTTCAAACTTTTATTTCAGGGAGTCATCAGGACAGTGAGACAGACCCAGTTTTTAGAACTGTCCCAGAAAGTCTGGGACAGTTGGTCACTTTAGGTATTAAAGCTGATGATTAATCGATTTAAATCAGTGGTTCTTCACATACACATTAGTATTCTGGCAACTTGTAATGGAAGTCAGATAGTCATCTGACACAGTGAGAGGTAAAAAAATTTGGTGTCTGGAGTGAATGTCTATTATACTACTCATTCAGCAAGCCCATAAGTTAATTTCTGTTGTTGTTTTAGGCCATAACAATTGACAAAGCCTTAATTTAAATATCTTACATTAAAAAATAGAGAAATACGTCATAAGCAACCTACTATGGAATGAATATTAGTTGCCATAGTATGTATCAGAAGCTGCAGCAACCAGGCAGCTGTCTGGGAGCGATCACGACACACCTGGTGCGGCTGTGCAGCCAGCCCCAATCAGGTGGGGAGGTGTGGGGGAAGGAGAGGGGAAAGCATGGCAGCTCAGGTAGGTGGCCCTGTCCCCAGCTTAGTCCCCAGCATTGTGGGTAGCATCATGCCCCAGCCCCATCATGGGGGGCAGGAAACGTGCTCCCACAGCCGCCTGCACTGCGTGTGTTTGTCTCCTGACCATGGCACCCTGGGTAGTCACCCACATCGCCCACTCCTATGGCCGGCTCTGACAGAAGGGCTCATGGAATGGAGTGCAGGGAAAGTGCACGTGCATGCATGCGCATGCACACACACGTGCACACACACATCCATATATTCAGAATCATAGTATCACAGTATTGGAAGCAGAGGTGTAATTACATGGTTTGGCACCAGGGTCAGGTGTCATATGCAAGGCAGCTTTTGGAAGCCACCATGCCATGTGATCACTATTGCACGGCCACAGCAGCAGCCATTTTTTCTGCTGGCCTGGTTGCTGCATCCTAGTTATGCCACAGCTTGGAAGGGACCTCAAGGGTCATCTAATCCAATCTCTTGCACAGAACAGGATTCACTATTCCTAAACCTCTCCAGCTCTTCTTGAAAACCTTCAGTCAAGGAAATTTCCAGTTTCCTTTGGCAACTTGTACAGAAGCTATATTTTTGCCCCGTGTTATCACTAATAATGGGAAGTCCTGGAGAGTTTGGGCCAGCAGCCCTGGAATGGAATCATAATCTGTAAATCATGCACAGGAGGCTGGACAAAAATCAGAGAGCTAATGTCTTTTCTGCCATCCTGCTGCAAGACTCATTCCCTTCAAACAGACATCCTTCAAGTTGCCTAGAACTCCAAACACTGTGAGGACAAAGGATCTTTGGCATTGTTGACTTTACATTAAATGACATGCAGTACCTTATCATAGGACACAGTATCAAACATTTCATTTATCTGAATGGGGGTTTCTGCTGGGTTGGAGATCGGACGAGAAGAATTTAATGAATCCCTTGCAATTGCACCAAAATATACATTCATAAAGTAGTCCTCCTGTGGGATGTAAGGACAATCATCACCTCTTAGAAATATATAACTAGTCAAATGACAGAAATAAATCAATAACATCTTACAACACATAATGAAGTGCAACCTCTATACTGAACATCTTAGAGCTATATTCCATTTACTCTGCACAATATTACTGAAAATCCTAACCATCTGCTTTCTTTGCAAGAAATTCTTGTAAACAATCTATAAAAGTTAGTACTTTAATGCCTAATAAAAATAGACCTCATGCAAATTTCCCCAACAAGTTAATGAAGAGAAAGGTCAAAATTCACAACCAGAACAGAATTTGGCCCCTCTCTTTATAGAGGAGTGAACAAAGAGGTATTTAGAAGAGATACAGAGAATTGGAGAATTTTTCAGATTGCATCACTGTTTACAGGAGCATTTACATGTACTAAATCATATTAAGTATTGAGTTCATAGCAGTTTCTTTATGATACACAGTACTCAGCATACCACTCCAAAATATTCTGCTTTAGCTAGAACAGCACTGGGTTCATCTACATGTGTGCTTTACTACAGAGCAGACTCACTAGCTCTGCAGTAAAGCATCACCATCTACATGTGCCATTATCAGGGCATAGTAAATTAATTCCGCCGTAAGATAGGACTATCAGGGATAGTCCTATCTTACAGCAGAGTCATTTACTGCGCACAAATACATTTGTGGATGGTGACTGGGACTGCAGCAGTTTGAGCCAGGGTGGAACAACCCCAGGCTGGCAGCAAATTCAGGGGGCCAGCCACACAGCTCTGCAGTTTTGGCACTCTTGTGCCCCAGCCAGCCCTGACGTCACTACCTGGAGCCTGGGGATGAACCCCTGATCCTGCTGTCAGCCTGGGGCTGCTCCACCCCAGCTCAAATGGCTGCGGTATACACACAGTATACAAGAGACTGTACTTTGAGCTATTATGCAATTGCCTCTATATATACTATGCAAACACACATATATCAGGACAAAAATTTTTTTAAATAAAATTAAAATAAGTTATAGAAGATGTTTGATTTTGGGGGGTATATGATTGGGTTTTTTTCCAGTTTCAAGATGGCAACCCCCCTCTCCCAAAAGGAGTACTTCTGGGGTAAGGGGAGAGACTCCAGTGGCAAAAGTCAGGGACTAGGGGCAGGTCTTCCTGTCCCAAGATGGCGACGAGGGGGTGGGGCACCCATCGGGGGTGGGGCTACCCTTGCAGCCTTCAACAGCCCACCAACACTTGTTAAGTGGCCTTCCAGCCAAAATAATTGCCCACCCCTGGATTAGAGCAAGTGAAGAGAGGGAGAAGGAAAGAAATCGAATTTAAAGGAAAATGAGATGATATTTAATGCGAAACGTACTCCCAGATTAGAAACCAGTTCTATAAATAAAGTACTTTTCTAAATTTCCTTTGCTCTCTTTGCTAATCCACTTTCAGACAAAGTTTGTTTTGCTGAATCTGTTCTGGTAGTCATATCCATACTGTTTTTAGAGGGAAAAGTATAATCATGGTAACAGTATTACTTACATACTGCAGTTCTGGGTAGGTCGCATTAAGAGAAATCAACTCCATGAACCGGGCAAAACCTTCATTTAGCCAAATGTCATTCCACCGTTCCATGGTAACCAAGTTACCAAACCACTGAAGGACAAAATCACAAGCAAACAAAACTTAAAATGAAACATGGTAGATACTGTAGTTAACTATGGAACTTGGAACTGAAGTTCGGGCATATCCACGTCCTTTGTTAAGATCTTATTCATGCACAAAAAAAATCAAACAAATACAAACAAACGAACAAACAAAAAAAAGACAAAAACACAGATATCGACATAAAAATCTAAAAAAAGCTAATTAAAAAAATCAATTCGCGGTTGAAAAAATGTATTCTGTGTACTTTAAAACAAAGGATGCAAATATTGACTTGACATGGAAGATTACATAACTTCTTCCTCCAAGAAGCATTTCCCAACTAATACTGTGACTTCTTCTAGGAGTACATAGAGGAATTTTAAACACCCACTGTTCATTTCCTGAATTGGTTCTGTGAATAAATTGAAGGCTCCAGTTTCAATGCTATATGGCTCATAATGCCTATATTCATATCTTTCTCATATTTACTACTTTTTCAAACCTACAAAAGAAGGAATTTCAACATTTACCGTTAATAGTCCAAGGGGAAAAAGTTAATTCCTTAAAGCAGAAAGTCTGAAGCTACTACAATAAAAGACAACTGAAATTATAAATATGTATGCTGACAAGGGACTAGCCTGGGACACGATTCTCTTGTTTTCTGCATTGCCAGGCAGTGGAATGCATTCTGCTTACAAATACACAAATTTCAATCTGAAATAATTCCATAAATCAGTTGAGTTATTCTGCCTTGAAACAGGTTTATGTAAATGAGTCAATACAGCACCCCAGATGCTACAGTAAAAAGGTGTCTAGTAAACAGTACTGAGTATTATTCGTCACCCTCCTCCCTTCTAAGTGATTTGTTCTCTTGATGCTAATATTAACTTTTTAAAAGCTCTTTTGATTTATACTTCAGCCTCAGCTTTTTCATTGGCATCTTACCAGGCTTGCTAGGAAAGAAGTCTATAGTTACCTGATGTGCTAATTCATGGGCTATCACTTTGGTGACCCACAGTTTGTCAGCTGCTGACGAGGTCTTGGGATTGTAGAGAAGTCTCCCTGTATGTGATGAGACCCCAGTTTTCCATAGCTCCTGACTGGAAATCAGGAACAGCAATAAGATCTAAGATTTAAAAAAAGAAGCTGTCTTATTTACTGAGTCCTCAAACTGTTTGTTAGATTGCTTGGTCTACATATTCTTTCCCAAACATTAAATGACTTGCATCAACTCCTACTTAGGAGATGAAAGGGAAAAACAATTGGAAATGGGGTGCAAATCAACCTCAGGCTCCTCCTTGGGGAGCAAAGTGAGGATGGGAACTAACAAGATTGTCCTTTTATAACCTTTTTTATTAATTAATCCAATTTATCAAATAACAGATTAACATTTAAAGATGTAGCCAGTCCCCTAAAAAGTGCTACCATAAGTTGAATAAATGTGTTCTTTTCTTCTCTTTCCTTCACTCTCTGGCAGTTCCATATGGTTCCTTTTTGTTTCCAGTGGTATTAAGCCGATGTGTTTCTTCATCTCTAGATAATAATCCACCCCCTCCTTTTCCCTAGAAATCTGTATACTGCAAATCTCATTATCTTCTACACATCTCTGTTCTTTTACATTTTAAATTTATTCTAAGTTTATTCATAAGTGTTAGCTCATAGAACTTGCACTTTTAATTGTACTGCAGGCTAAGTGTGGGTCACTGCCCAAAACTGTTCATGACCTCAGGAAGTCATCTAGTCCAACCCCCTGCTTTAAAGTAGGAACATCCCCAAATACCTGGGTCTTAAACTTAAGGATGCAGATTCCATAACGTCTCTCAGTACCCTGTTCTACTGCTTTACTACCCTCCAAGTGAGAAAATTTCTCCTAACATCTAACCTAAACTTTCCTTGCTGTAACTTGAGACCATTGCTCCTTGTTCTGTCATCTGCTACCACTGAGAACAGTCTAGCTTCATCTGCTTTGTAACCCCCCTTCAGGTAGTTGAAGGCTGCTATTAAATCCCACCTCAGTCTTCTCTTTTCCAGACTAAATAAGCCCAGTTCCCTCAGCCTCTCCTCACAAGTCATGTTCCCCAGCCACCTGAACATTTTTGTTGCCCTCTGCTGGACTCTTATCTAATTTATCCACATCCTTTCTGTAGTGGGGGACCCAAAACTGGACAGTACTCCAGATGTGGCCCCACCAGTGCCAAATAGAGAAGAAAAATCACTTCCCCCAATCTGCTGGCAACACTCTTACTAATGCAGCCCATTAGGCTGTTAGCCTCCTTCACAACAAGGGCACACTGTGGGCTCATATTCAGTTTATTATCCAAAGTAACCCCGTTGCTGGTAGGCATTGTATGGCTTTGGCCCCTTCTTGGTTGGCACCTTCCTCCCCAGCGATGTCAGGGTGAGACCGCACCTTAGGGCCACCTAGATGGTTCTGAGAGCTGCCCCTACTCGTCTGCCACGACTTTGACGTTGATAGATGGGGGAGGCAGTTCCCTGTCGGTGGTCCCAGCTGGGTTGCCGCCCTGGGTCTTTCTTCGTGGGGCTCCAAACCTCCCCTTTACCCCACCCTTACCACATCCATGGCCGGGGAGAGCCCAGCCTCCTTGGACCTTTCCCGAGGATGATCTCCTTACCTCAAGGCCTTCCCCAAGCAGGGTAGGGTGTCTGGCCTTCAATCACCACAGGGCTGGTCCTTTATCTTCAGGCCAACCCGTGGACAAACTAAACACGCCCCAGTCTGGGGTAATAATAACTCAAAAGGTCCTTCACTCCCTGTGAAGGCATAGTCATCTACTGATGAAGTACAGAGGACTTTGGCTCCCCAGACCCTTCTGCCTCCCCGGCAGGGGGAGGGGGAGGAAGACTTGACGTTGCTCCCTCCGCCCACTCTTTTCAGCGGGGGGCCCACTGATAGGGAGCTAAATCACTCCTGTTCCCACCAACAGGTGGGAGTCACTCCTTTACCACTGGGTGCCAGACCAGTTGCCACCTGCCTCTCTTTCTTCCCCTGGCTGTCTGCCATGTCTTGCCGTCTCTCACTGCCCAGCCCCACCAAGGCTCTTGGCTGCTCCCGCAGGGCTTGAACTCTGCCCGCGACTGTGAGGACCACCTTCGTCTCCCTACCATGCCTCTCTGGCCAACTCCAATTCCTTGAGCTCCGCCTCAGGGTTTTTCCTGTCAGGTAGCCCCGTCAGCTGCTGAGGCTTCTCACCCTGAGCCCCGCTCCATCGCTCCTATGTGGTTCCACACCTGTGGCTCCCTGCCGGCAGCCTGCTCCTCCCCACCAGCGTTCTGCTTCTCTCTGCTTGGCTCTGCCATCCGAGGCTGGGGAGCTGGGTGTCTCCTCAGCTGCCTTTTGAGCAGCCCATGCTGCTCCCAGGCTCTGCCCCTGAGGATTGCCGATCCACAGGCTCAGGCAGCTGCAGAGCTGCTGAGCCTGCATCGGCGTCTTCCCCCAGCTGCTGCTCGTCCCGGCCCCTGTGGTAAGTACTGGGGCTCATTGGGTGAGGTCCCGGGACATGCTAGGAGGGGGACTTTTGCCTCCCCTCCCACAAACCCTTGGGTCCTTTCCTCCAGGGCTGCTGCTTAGCCAGCCAGTCCCTGGTCTGGAA